ATACATTATATACAGTATTATATTTGTTTTAACTGTATAAATTTGCAGTTTAAATAATATTCATGAAAAATTTAATGAAATTAAAACAATTGTAAATCATTATTCAGCAAAAAAATAATATAATTGACACCTTATACATACTTTCCAACAACTTGTGCTTTTATTTATTCTAAGTACCGTGTTAAAGCTTATAATAGCACCAATTGAATCAACACAAACAACATTTCTGAGGAAAAATATTAATTATAAGTAAGCTTACACTTATTCTAAGAAATCATCACAATTAAAAGAACCAAAGACTTAAACTACTTCAGTCTGTGTGCATTTAATTTATTTAATACACGAGTTTCACAATTTGAGTTGAATTACTGAAATAAATGAACTTTTCCACGACATTCTAATTTATTGAGATGCACCTGTACACACACACACACACACACACACATTTTTAAATATAATATACATTATATTATTTATTTATTTGTTTGTTTGTTTATTTAATACTCACCCAATCTCTGGGTCAGCCCAAACAGGCTTTTTCAGCGCAGTGGGGGCGGCATAGTTAACAGGGCTATACTGGGGCCAGTCTGTGTCCCAATCTACTTTGTCATCTGGAACAGGGAAGCTGGGTGTCTGAGCCGGTATATGATGGCTAACGAGACTTAACGTGCGCGGCAGGAGACATGCAGACAGATGTTGATGAACAGAGACTGGGAATGCAGCTAACGGCGTTCTTCCTGCTGAAAGGAAAATCATTTCCATAACGGAACGTTTCTTTCATTTTAAGACTCACGAGTCACAAGTCAACAACAATGAGCACTATCCCTTACGAATATTAACCATGGTTTTACCACAAATAAAACCAAAAAACCTATAGTAATCACAAATTTACCCCGGTTTTGCTACACTAACCATAGTTTAACCATGGTATTTGTAGTAAAATTGTGGTTATATTGAACAAATGGTAAACAATGCACCAAAAAAAAAACTTCTAAATAATGTACTTTCTCGAAAATTAACCATGGTTTTATTGTAGTGAAAGTGTAGTAACCAGGTTTTTTTTTTTTTCTGATTACCATTTGTATACAAATACCATGGTTAAACTATGGTTAGTGTAGCAAAACCATGGTTAATTTGTGGTTACCATGGTTTAACTATAGTAACCATGGTTTTTTTGGTTTTATTTGGAGTAAAACCATGGTTAATTAGCTGTAGGTCAGTGACTAGCTTACATGAGGGTGCCAGCTTGAAGTTAATTTTGATGTTTCTTTTTTAAAATCTCTCTTATGCTAGTACTGTGCCTTGAAAATGTTTATTAAGTCTCTTTGAGAGGAATATAATACCTGCACGCACAGACAGCTGGGGCTCAGGATGAACTGAATAACGTAATGTGATTTTGTGCTATCGCACATGGCAAAACAGGATCTGCTTTCTGACTTAAATCCTGCCATCCATGCATTCAATCAATCATTCCCCAAAATGCTGAATTTTTTATTAATTTAGAAGGTAAAAACGTCAAATGTTAATCCACTACTGCTGCAGGCGTTAATGCTGATTTAAAAACAAAACAAAACAAAGCTTTGTGTTAGCAAAGAAAAGTCATATACAGTTGCTCAAAGGCTGCTGTTGCCAGGGATGGGCAGTATTTCAGATACATGTATTTACAATACGTATTTGAAATACAAAATACTATTCTGTATTTTGTATTTGAAAGCCTTTGGCAAAAATCAAATGTAATTTGTATTTAAATACATTTAAGATTAGTATTTTTGCATTTTTGACTTTTCTGGAATAAGAGAAGTTGAGGATGTCATGGTCAATTGTACATGTTGATTAAAGTTAAAATAGAGCATCATTCAGATTTGCCGTCAGTTAACATGAAAGAATAAAAGAGCACTGACAAGGGGAAAAATAGCGTTAGCCAATCAGTTTTAATAGTTAATCGGTTGTTGTTTTTGATCAACTAGCTTGTCAAATGTGTTTAAAGCATTACTGCAGGTTAGGGCTGGGTGATATGACAATACATATCGTGGCGATGATATAAAGTGCGAATCGACGGACATTTTTCTAAATCGTTTACATAGATAGGCCTGTTGGGGAAAGCAAATATATCCGTGCAGCTTTTAGTGGGCAGGAATTATTCATTCATTCATTCATTCAAAAGGAAGCATGGATGAATGAGTAATAGAATGTGATGTGCTTGGTGCAATTGCACTTATTATAAGTGTATATGTGTATGTCCTTTATACTTCTATACACACACACACACACACACACACATTTTTAAATATAATATACATTATATTATTTATTTATTTGTTTGTTTGTTTATTTAATACTCACCCAATCTCTGGGTCAGCCCAAACAGGCTTTTTCAGCGCAGTGGGGGCGGCATAGTTAACAGGGCTATACTGGGGCCAGTCTGTGTCCCAATCTACTTTGTCATCTGGAACAGGGAAGCTGGGTGTCTGAGCCGGTATATGATGGCTAACGAGACTTAACGTGCGCGGCAGGAGACATGCAGACAGATGTTGATGAACAGAGACTGGGAATGCAGCTAACGGCGTTCTTCCTGCTGAAAGGAAAATCATTTCCATAACGGAACGTTTCTTTCATTTTAAGACTCACGAGTCACAAGTCAACAACAATGAGCACTATCCCTTACGAATATTAACCATGGTTTTACCACAAATAAAACCAAAAAACCTATAGTAATCACAAATTTACCCCGGTTTTGCTACACTAACCATAGTTTAACCATGGTATTTGTAGTAAAATTGTGGTTATATTGAACAAATGGTAAACAATGCACCAAAAAAAACCTTCTAAATAATGTACTTTCTCGAAAATTAACCATGGTTTTATTGTAGTGAAAGTGTAGTAACCAGGTTTTTTTTTTTTTTTAACATGGTTACTACACTTTCACTACAATAAAACCATGGTTAATTTTCGAGAAAGTACATTATTTAGAAGAGGAAAACTTGTCGATTACACACCTGTCAACCTTGTGTCACAACTACAGATTAAGAATTTAAATAAATATCAATTATTACATTCATTTACATACCAACCTCCACTTGTAACAGCAGCGAACGGAACCCCAATAAGACTAAGCGCTACATGCACCGATGCAACCCAGTTACAGGAACTGCTTTCATGAAACCCAGAGCTGCAGTAACCAGGAAGTGAGACATCAGCCACGCCTCTTCGGTCACGCAATTCATGCGACTCGCTGTTATGATATAAAGCGCAATAGGCTTTTTGGAATAACATATTTAGTGATATAGAATGGGAAGAGTTTTGGCTTCTTCGACAAAAATTCTTCTTATCTAATAAAGTTGTTGAAGTCTCTATTAAAATTATCCATAATTATTATCCGGTAAATTACAAACTTGCTAAATTTAACAGTAGTATTTCCCCCAATTGCTCCTTTTGCCTTCAGTCTGAAGAAACAATCAATCATTTATTTTGGGACTGTGCTTATTCTAAAGTGTTCTGGGTTGACTTTTCCAATTTTGTTAAAAAATATTTATATCCAAACTTTTGTATAACCCCAAAAAATGTGTTTTTTGGTTACTCTTTGAATTTAGATCTTTCTCAGTGTAAATTTATTATTAATCTATTGCTATATCTTGCTAAATTTTACATTCACAAGTGTACATTTTTAAAGAAAACTCACTACTTTTTTATTTTCAGGAAAGATTTTGATGTATATGTAAACTCTTTAAGAAACTCTAATAATTCTATTGCATGTAAGACTCTTTCATGGTGTAAATCTTATAAGCTAACATAGTATGCTTTGGAGTATTGTTTGTAACCCTTATTGTCTTTTGTTCTTACTTGTCTTTGTAATTGTATTTGTTGTTCTTCTATTGCATGATAAAAAATAAAAAAGCGCAATAGGCTGCACTGCAGTATAAGTGAATCTTCCTAGTAGTAGACCGTACACATTTCGTATACTTAATATTTATATTATACGTATATTGTGTGTACGAAAATCGTACACACAATATAATGGACACAATTAATGCATTTTGAGATCGTGTGCGTGTGTTTAAATGCATCAAATAATAAATAATATTCAAATGCGTTTAAAGAATGGTTATATTTACCTCCATCAAATTGGGAAATGAGTATAACATATCACGATCCAACACCTTTAATATATATATGAGATAATATATGACGGCCGTTTTTGTTCCAGTGGTAACTGTTCAGATGATGGAAAATATGACGAGTTCGTGTGTTTATCTCACACTTTAACATACCCTCTTTTCCCTTTCACTTGATGTTTTCCCACCACATACTGTAAATCACGCCGGAGGGCCTACTGACCGTAACCGTGGGAGGCCTCATTCTGCACAGTGCACAGTGCACACCCACTCGAGGCTCGTGCGCTGTGTAGTTGCGTCTGCTGCGCGGCCTTTTCACGCGCAGCGCGCGCCCGCGAACGTCGTACAGGAGAAGTGCGCGTTCGCGCTCACGATCCGTTTAGATGCACGCTCGTTCCGCACTCGCATCCACAGGGGGGCCTTGACCGACTCCTCTTCGACTGTCAAGAAAGCACACCGTATAACGGCAGCCTTTGTATCCGATAAACCTGTCTTTGATCAGAAGGCAAACAGGAGGCCCTCTTCCTCCCAAAGACTGCACGAAGGCGACTGATTTGTGGACGGAAACGATGGCGGAATCGGGCAGCAGCGCGGCGGCGGCCGGAGCCGCGGGCTCGAATAGCAGCACCGCCGGGGCTGGAGGAGCCGTCGCGGCCGGGGGAGCCAATGGAGCGGCGGGATCCAAGCCTGGCCTGGAGTCGGTGAAGGGACAACATTTTGACGTTGGCCCCCGATACACCGATCTCCAGTATATCGGGGAGGGGGCCTATGGGATGGTCTGGTAAGCGGAAACTGCTCATTTTTGCAGTCACACACTTTGGTTGGAGATAACGTTACTGTTGGATCGGGGCGAGAATTAATGGGCTGGTACTGATCAGCTCTTCGTAGTAAAGAAAAAGGGTGTCGATTCTCTAAAAGCCTATGCCATTCCGCATTCCCTTTTTATAGAGAGGAAAGATTATATACACGGCGTTTCAAAAGCGCCTGAAAAGAAATTTCCGCTCAACAAGTTTCCTTGCATATCCTTCCCAGAAACTCAGAGCTAACAATAGATTGCGAGTAATGCATTGGATTAAATCCCATTTCTTCAGCACTGGCTGTGTTTGAAAGCATAGCGCTCTGCCGACATGGAGAGTATTTTTTTTGGCATCATATTCGCGTTCGGAACGTTTAAAACTGCTGTCCAGCTCGCCAGCGTCCAGACACAGCCAGGGTCTCGCTGCACGCGAATCCATGTTATTGTGGAGAACACTCGATGAGTTTGGATGTTGAATGTCACTTGTCATTCTTGATTTTAGGAGTGTGCTTTGTTTTTTTTGTGGTGTGAAACTGCATGCTAGTGCTGCTGGCTCCTCCGCTAGCAATCTGACATCTCACTCCGAGCTCGTGAAACAGGCGTGGCTACGATGCGGCCGAATGTGCATGAAGTGGGTTAGCCAACATTTTTGCGGGTTTTCTAGAAATAAGTACCCACCGTTTTTGAGATGTCAGCTGCTGGTAAGACGTGTTTAAATGGTGGTAAAATAGTTTAGGTGAAGAATTCAGAACTGTGCGCGTTGTTCTGGTCTGCAGGTTTTGCTGGAGGATGTAAACAAACCCCCTGTAATAAAACACAAAGGCCTTCCTTCTATGGATATCTTTGGGTAGGGCAATCAGACAGCTGCGTAGTAAGAAAATATATAAAGAATCAGATACTAGGCATTTTCCACAAATGCAGTGCACTTTACCGAAAAAATTTAAACACATTCGATATATGTAAAATTGGGATTTTGGCCTGTCCCATCTGAGATTTTCTTATCGTATTTAACAATTAAAATCATACAATATTACTTAAATTATTATAAAATGATTGTGTTATTTTTTTTGAAAACGATCGAGTTTTGAATTGATGTTAATATGTTAATTTTGATAAACATTTGTACATTTTTAAAATTATAAAAGTTTCAAATGTATACAAATAATGCCCCCCCCCACACGTTAGTGCCACGTAAAAAAAAATGAACATGTCAGATTACTATTGTAAGATTAATCAAATAAATGAAAATTGTAGATTAATTAAACAATTGTAAATGTAAGATTACATATTAAAGTCATAATATTTTGAGAAAAAGTAAAAATTACGAGACTTTTTAAAAAATCTCATAATCTTAGTTTTTTTTTTACGTGGCACTAAAACGCTGTCGTACCCTTTTAAAAAAACATGGCTGTCTTTAGTTTAAAAAAATCTAAATAATATTAACATACACAAAACACACACAAAACATAGCTAAAACACAAACAGCACAGCAGGGATTTAAACAATTTATACACATCTCATATAAATATAATATTTATCATAGCCTTAGGTTGAAATTCAGGATTGTTCTAAAGTTTAAGCACCTCTGTTCACTTGTTTTAACATTGTTCCCGATGCTACACGAGTTAAAGCTTGTATGAGTTGATCTTTTTAATACTCCCTCCTCTCATCCCACCATCTCTTTCCCTGCCGCCTGCAGCTCAGCTTTTGATCATGTGAATAAGGTCCGAGTGGCCATTAAGAAGATCAGTCCATTTGAACACCAGACCTACTGCCAGCGCACCCTCAGGGAGATCAAAATCCTCCTGCGGTTCCGTCATGAGAACATCATCGGCATCAATGACATCCTGAGAGCTCGTCGCATCGAATGTATGAGGGATGTGTATCCTTAAACATGCACACCAACAGGCTCACAATGCAGTAGGCTGAAGTGTTGTACATACCATTGTATTTTGGAGATAGTGTGTATATCATCACAGTGTTGTGCTGTAGTTCTTTAACTGCATTTCAGCTATATCGTACAGGACCTGATGGAGACCGACCTTTACAAATTGCTGAAAACACAGCAACTCAGCAATGACCATATCTGCTACTTTCTGTACCAGATCCTGCGAGGGCTAAAATACATTCACTCTGCCAATGTGCTGCACAGAGACTTGAAGCCTTCGAACCTTCTCATCAACACCACCTGTGACCTCAAGGTCAGAAAAAAAATATTTTCCTGAAGAATGAAACTCCAAACATAAAACTCTAATTCTTAATATGAAAAAAAATGTGTTTAGTACATTGACAGTAACGCAATACAGTAACACAGCAGCTTCAAACAGATAACCTGACATTAAAGCGTAAATATAAAATGAAACCTAATGTGAAATGGAAATCATTTTGTAAGCGATCTATTTCAGTGCAGATATTTTGAGGAACGCAGGATTAAATTTAGAAGTGTAGTTCTTGTGCTTTGTTTAATCTTAAAGCAATGATCCTAGTGAAGCTAAATATAGAAATGAGGGGCTTTTTAAAGCAAAATCGCATGTTTGAGGGTTGTGTGGAGAATAATTATACTTCCTCACCCGTAGATCTGTGACTTTGGGCTGGCACGGATAGCCGACCCAGAACATGACCACACCGGATTCCTCACAGAGTATGTAGCTACTCGCTGGTACCGTGCTCCTGAGATCATGCTCAACTCCAAGGTATGTCTAGGTCATTAGCATTTATCCTATTAACTGGATGCGTGTTTTGACATTCTCTGTCTTAATCTTTCAGGGCTACACCAAATCCATTGATATTTGGTCTGTGGGTTGCATCCTGGCTGAGATGTTGTCCAACAGACCCATCTTCCCTGGGAAGCATTATCTGGACCAGCTCAACCACATATTGGGTAAGAACCAGTGCTTAATGCTCAATGGAATGTCCCCATTTTCAGACTTCTCTTTCATTCTCAAATATGCGCTATCTGAAGCATAATATTGAAAGAAAAAACACAGAGTCCTGTATTACGACACTATGACCCACTGTATGAGGGTGAGGGCAGGAAACACTCAAGAGAATAGACTATCAGCTGAACAGTGTGCAGTGTCATTATCCGCCACTTCCCTGGTTTACAGGAACATATTAAGCAGCACAACTCTTTTTGACATTGATAATCAGCATATTAGAAAGATGTTATTATATGATTTCTGAAGAATCATGTGACAATGAAGTCTGGAATAATAGCTGAAGAAAATTCTGATTTACTATCACAGGATTAAATTACACTTTAAATTACACTTTAAAATATATTCAAAAAGAAAACTGTTATTTGTAATAATACAGTAATAAATAAAACAGCAAATTATTAACCGTAATACTTCATAATATTACTGGTTTTAATTTTTTTTTTTTTGAGCATAAGAGACTCATAGAAATCTTACCAACTCCAAACTTTTGAACTGTGAATATTTGTATATTTTGCTTTTTGACTTTTTTTTATTATGCATTTAGTACAATTTATATTAATTTAATTATTACATTTAAAGGGGTGGTTCATTGCGATTTCACTTTTTTAACATTAGTTAGTGTGTAATGTTGCTGTTTGAGCATAAACAATATCTGCAAAGTTACGAAGCTGAAAGTTCAATGCAAACGGAGATATCGTCTTTTAAAATTCTGGCAGTTTAATGCCTACAAAAACGGCTGGTAGGGACTACAACAAGTTACTTCCCGGGTTTGTGACATAACAAACCCAGATAAACCCCGCCCTCGGGAAAAGGCAGCAAAGGGGGCGAGGCCATGCTGTGCTGCTTTAGAGAAGAGGAAGAGAAAACAAGGGGGGCACGTAAAAATCTATTCATATATGAATCGCGATGCTGTCTTCTAACGATTCTAATGGATTCACAAGTTTCAAAACCAATGTTCTAAAGCAGTGGTTCTTAATACTGTTCCTCAGCTCAAACTGATAAGCGATATTAACGATGCCATTGTTTACAATACAACTGGAGCACATGCCGCTGAGGTGAGGGGCGGGACGGGACGGTTAGACGCACTAGAGGCGGTTTAGCCAATCACAACACACTGGGTTAGCTAACCAATCAGAGCCTATCGCCTATTTCTGAGGGAGGGGCTTCATAAAAGAAGGAAATGATCAGCATGTTTCTCAGAGAAGGGACAGAGCAGAGTGTAATAAAGGTAAATTATGTGAAAAATAATGCGTTTTTTAAAAATGAAGCATTAGCACGTGTTAGACTGCACCCCATAAACACAATCAAGCCTAGAAAAAAACCACTGAACCACCCCTTTAAGTGGCAATCCAGTACAGTACCAACATTTTTTATCATATATAATTGTAAAAATGTCCTTAATCAAACACTGAAGTTTATTATTAGTAATACTACTAATATTATTAGTAAATGTAGCATTATTATTATTTTTATTATATAAATAATTTACCGTTGTTGCAAGTGAACATATATTAAGCTTTTACTTGGTTTATATATTTTTGATTATGGATTGAGAATATCTACCAAGATTTTAAAGGAATTTATGCCAAACGTTTGACTGCATGACCAACTTTTGAAGTGCATTCAGAATCATGTTCTACTCCCTTAAAAAGTGGATAATCTCATTTCTTTTTTTATCTTAACTATGCACAATAACAGGTTAGTTGCATTTTATTATATCCTTTAGCATTTTCTTCCCTGCTGTCCATGAGCCATCAGGGCTGCTTTCCCAAAAGCCCAAGTAGATAGTAGAAACAATGGTTTTCAGTTGAGGACCACTGTATTGTTGTTATTTGACCCATTTGGTAATGCAAGCACATTGTTCATTTTGTGATCATTTTCCTGCCCCATCAATCAGGTGTTTTGGGCTCCCCCTCTCAAGATGATCTGAACTGCATCATCAACATGAAGGCCAGGAACTACCTCCAGTCTCTACCCCAGAAACCGAAAGTCCCATGGAGCAAACTGTTCACCAAAGCAGACAACAAAGGTAAGCACGCACATTAGGATGTTTAGTGAAATGTTATGTGTGTAAGAGGGGTCTGGCAGTAAGCTGTCTCAAGTGTGTGTGTGTGTGTGTGTGGGAGGGAGTACTGAACAAATGTGGGTGTCAACAAATGGTCTTTTGACAGTCTCGCTGAAGTATGTTAAATATAACATTGCCAGGGAAGACATCGTTGTATGCTTTTTCTCTGTGACTATTATGACTGTAGTTGTGCACAATTTGTATGTTGTATGTTGGTACTAGTGAACAAGTTCCTTTGTAATTATAAATTTAACACAGAAGTGTGGAACTTCTTTATGTACTTCTACCATTGCATTTCAGCTCTGGATTTATTGGACCGCATGTTGACCTTTAACCCCATCAAACGTATAACCGTGGAGGAAGCATTGGCCCACCCCTACCTGGAGCAGTACTATGACCCTTCTGATGAGGTATCTTTCTTTCCCCTCTCCATCTACATTTCTGTCTCCCACCCCTTAAGTCTGTCATCTGTACAATCCCATATCGTTTAGTTAAGCCTTACAGAATTTCGCATTGTTTACAAATTCAGCCGGTGGCTGAGGAGCCTTTCACTTTCAACATGGAGCTGGACGACCTTCCTAAAGAGAAGCTGAAAGAGCTCATCTATGAGGAGACGGCACGCTTCCAGGCCAACTACCAGGGCTCCTGAGAGGGACAGGTACAAAATACATGTCAAATGTCCAAATCTACAAGTGTGAGATTTTACTGATGTTAATATATTTATTAGGGGTGTAATGATATTTAAACCGAATCACAGCAGTTAAAGATATAGTTCACCCAAAAATGTCTTGTATGACTGACTGACTTCCACAAAACACAAAATAAGATATTTATAAAAATATTTAAGTTGTCCTTAAATATGTAAATGTTTTGTCAAGTTTATTTGTGCATATTCATATTTGTTAAGTCTTCCGTTACTATGTCAAACCTTGTATAATACATTTTAATGTACAAGTACAGATGAGATTTGATAGCTACTGCTGTCTGTTCTTGGGTGAACTATTTCTTCAACTTATTTTACATATTTTGAAAACTTTTATTTTTCAACTAACACAAAAATGAAAACCGACGTACAATATTTATCTTTATAGTAATCAGCATTTTTGTCTGTTCAGTATATTAACATGTAAAGAATTCCTTTGAAGGTTATATAGTTTCAATATGATTTTTTTTAATGAAAGCTATTCTTATATTATCCCTAAATTGAGTAAAGCCTTACTCTGCGTTTGAAGAATTTCCATGCTTAAACCTATTGTTGTCCGCTAATGGTCAGTAATCCTTTTTTTTTTTTTTGCAGCCTTCACAGAGAATAACTGAGCAGCGTGGAGTCTCAGATAAAGATAACTCCAGACAACCTGCGAAAACATATACATGCATATATACATTAAAAAAACAAGATAAAAAGAGGAAAAATGTACATTTAAAAACTTCAGCTTTGTTTTATCTGTCCATCTCTCTTTCTTGCTGGGAAGCTGTGCGCTAGTTTGGGCTTAAATCATCTTATCATAACGCCATTAATGGAGGCCGACAGACTCACTATTCTCATTGCATACCGCACACAGCTCCTGCTCTCTGAAACAACTGCATCTTTCACCCTTTCTATCAATACCCTGCTTCTCTCTCTGTTTGTATCCATCTCTTTCTCTTTATGTCTCTCTCGAGGGTGTCTTTCTACTGGTCTGTGTTGTTTTTTTCCCCATTCCACAGAGATGGCGAGAGAGAAAAGGAGAATCTCTATGATGGGCACTGACTGGTGTGTGTGTATATATATAAGTGGTTTTGAGTTTCATTGGCGTATTGTAAGTTGGCAATCTGTTTGTACACTGTAATTTGAACGTTACGATCAGTTACAAATCGTGTTTTGTAATTTTGGGAATTTATATTTGAATAGCTTTTGAAATATAAAGTCGTTGCTTGTGTTTCTTTTTGTTTTAATTCATTCAAAGACAAATGATGTTACATTTAATGAGGTTGGACTTTTATTTTGTTTTCTATTGCGAGGAAAAAGCGGTCTTGCTTTGGTTCTTGAGAAATATATTGAGTAAAAGAGAAATAGCGACAGGCAGGATGAACGGAGGAAAGAGTGAGATGGAATAGTATCATCTGCTGTAAAATATCATGTTCTACTGTTGAGAACTGAGACTCTTGCCAATGTTCTTGGGGAAATTAAGCCATCAGTATCATCTCTTTTTTTTTTTTTTATGCTGGCTTCCGTTCCCTGTTTCTGCTCTCGCTCGTCTGTTCATTTGATGGCGGTTCTGTGGTGTGCAGACTTCCATTGTGCATTCTTTTGCATTTTTAGGGGGGTTGATCCTGATTTCTTTGTGAATAACAATAGTTGTCATTGGTTACCATGTCCATGGCTACTGTTGCCATGATTCCTTTCTGATAAGTCACACATAGTTCCCCACATTCTGGCTTTGTTACTTACAGATGTTGTCCCTTTCTCTTTTTCTTTTTCTTTCACGTCGTCTTTTTTCTCTTGTTTTGTTTTTCTTCACTTGTCCTGGAGTGATTGAGGAATCATAGCCAAGCTTAACACTTTCAGAGCCATAGCACATTTTTTCTCATTCCCTCCCTGTGATGTCAGAACTTTTCAAAGGGCTTTTCCACAGGGCTTGCTGACCTCATGCCTCTCCTGCCTGTGATTGGCTCACCTTTTTTTATCTAGTTTTGAATGGACTTATTCTGCATGCATTGCATCTCAGAGGTAACAACCTGCCTTTATATGTTTTTAGTGAAATGTCGCCATCTTTCAATGCTGTTTCAAAAAGAAACCATCATTGCTTTTGGCCAATCATGGATGAGGAAAGCATGTTCAAGTGGGAAGAGTTAAAATGGTACAGTGTGTAGCTGTTTTGCATAAATACAGGGTGTGATTTGCATGAATGAATAAATCCCCTGTGTAAAACCCCATTGAGACGGGCCTCAACTGCAGAGGAAATGCACTCCGCACGTCAATTACGTAACATTTCTCAATCAGTGCACCTGCACTTTGTGTCTTTCATTTCAGTTTTTAGTGCAATTTTATCTATACCTGTGACAAACGTTTCTTTGTTTCATTATAAGCTTTAGTCTTCATCTTTTTTTCTTAATACCCCACTTGTTAGGGTGAGGTGTAACAGGCAATGACGGTTGGTCACGTCCCATGTCTATGTCTGTACATCTGTCCTTTCCAACCAGAAGCTGCTCTTCTCTGCTTCCTCATGAGGAGGGGAGATCATCCCGCTCTATAGTCCGAGAGAAACAAGTCATTACCAAGAAAAAGATTATTTATATTACTGTATTGTCAATGGCAATGACATGCTTATTGTGAATGGGACCACGGGGACTGTCAACAGTCTTACACACACACACACACACACACACACACACACATTTAAGGATGTATTTCTCAGATGTAAATCTGCCCGCATACAGTATATGATTTCAAAAGTCTGTCATAATGTCCTTTTAATGGCTGTTATTATGATTATTGCTGGTGTTATATTGGTGAGGTCTTTTTTTATTTTTAAAAACTGAAAAGGGATTTTAAAACTTTTGTCCTTTTTTAAAGTATGTTTTGCATTTCTTTCGTTTTGTTCGCTTTGGATGTGAAAAATAATTGGCTGTTCTCTCTTTCTGAAGTCTATTTTTTCCCTAAATCTTATAAGGAATTATTTTAAAAGATGATTAAACGATATGGGTAGATTGTCAAGAGAAATGAGCTATGGATGGTTATAGTCTATAGCATATATGCTTATGGGTATAATAAATTAAACAATTAACAAAAACAGAATTATATACATATATGAAATAAAATTCCTGATACTGTAAGTCTTGGTCTTCTTGGTGTGGGTTTTTTATCCTTTTTTTTTTTTTTTTTTTTTAATAAAGAACCTTTTTTTTATTCTACTTGACTGATTTTTTACTCAAATAAAGGGAAAGAAAATAAGAAATAAACTTATTTTTCAGAAAAACATTTAAATACAAGCACACCTAATTTTTTTTTATAAACATATAATACCATTTACTATCAACAATCATATCAGTCCTATATTGACATTGAGAATAACTGACATATTGGAAGTTTTCGGTTTCAAATATTCTTTTAAAAAACTCACATGTTCTTGAATAAAATGCATTACAGGTATTTTAGATTTTATGTTTTGTTTAAAACCTAATTGTGCACATGACAAATTTAAATCAACTGCTCTGCTTGTGCCCTTATGATAAAAATAATTAGATTTTTATTTGCGCTTTATTTTTTTGAATTGGCACTCAAAACAAATCATTATCTTTTCTCTTAATTAAAGTGTATTAATATGTATGAAAGATAATTATGGCCTTGCTTCCATCTAGTGAGTAGCTCGAGGGCTTGTGCCAATTTCACAATACACAGTTGCTATAACATTAACAGTAACATTGCCAGTTTTTGAAGATGAGAGTTGTTATCTTGTTTCGTGTGAAGGGAGTGGCATTGTGGCAATCAAAATCTAATTAATTTTCCTTAGCCATGGAAAAGTAAAGCATTATTAATTATTAATGAATATGGCTAATGAATGGACTAATATTTTCCTCCAAATTCCACTCCTTGCTTTCTGGGAACTCCTTTACCTTTTCTCTCCTCTGAAATCAGCCAAAAGTTGCCTGTCCAGTTGGACGACGACTCTGCTTCGCCAACATGTTTCAGCATGTGTTGAGAATTCTGGTAAGGCATTCTGCTTGTGAAGACAGATCGAGCGCTTTAGGTTGTGGGTGTGGGTGCAATCTTGTTTAATACGACTCGTTCAAACGCAAAACTGAAGTGACTCAAATGTAATCTAATACACTGATCCACTGCAATTTTTGTTACATGAAACAGATATATCAATGCATTTGATGAAACCAGTTTGCCGCAACTGCACAAATTAGGTATGGATTATTAGTATCTCTCTCAGCCTCACTTCACATCTGTCTCTGCCACCCTTCGTTTGTTCAATAACAGTCTCTCGGCAATTCTATACAAAACCAGAACAATAGAAAACAAAAATGTTCTGCTGACAGGCAGAACTAACAGTGTGTACATTTGTTGTGTGTGCATTTCTGTGGGTTTGCATTTATCCCACCGTAAGCCTTTGTTAAGCACTGAAATGTGTGAACACACGAATACTGGCCAAACATCAACTGGTGTCCTCCGCTACCTACTACCAACTGTTGCAATGCCACAAACAACAAAAGCCCCTTGTGCTGTCTGTCCAATCCTGTTGGTTCTCCCTACATATCTCGCCTAATTTGCACTAGTGAGAATATATATTGTATATGTTCACTATTAGTAAGTACAAGTAAAGTGAAGCAGAATGATACGTGCTGGAAGGCCTCAGAAAACTCACAGACAGCGCAAACCTGTGTTTGTCACATGTATTCAACAAACTGCATTCCAAAACATTCATACCCCATTGACAGTCACACAAAAAGGAGGGGGGAATTTGGAGTTACAAAGAGTGCAACTTCCAATGAGTGACTGAGAATGCACACCTAGAGAGAAAGGTTTCATTGTTTAGGTCTTTCTCTTGTGTGGCTGCATTGATATGAGAAGGAATCAAGCAAAGGGAGGAAGCTTTACATTGCTGTCTCCTTATGCTTTGCTCATTAAGCAACATTTCTTGCTAAGTAATGTGATAGCCAAAGTGAGGGAAGAAAAGGGAGTGGCTGAGGGAACCTGTAGTAAACTGGAGCAGTGACAGACACAAGGCAAGGAAAAGATAAGGAAAATCATATCGACATCAGCACTGAAGACAGGTGCTTGGCGAAGTGGCTGTGCTGGTACTACTTGGATCTGAATCTGGATATCTCCAGGATATCTGAAATAAGAAGTTGAAGAAACAAATAGAAGTACTGGTAAGTTGTTATGTTTTTGGTGTTTGTTATTAGATGGGGATTTCTCATATATACCCACAATTTTATTTATTACAATTTTTTTCCCCACAAAAATACAAATAAAGAAACATCAAGGAACACATTGCATTAAACAATTTTGTAAAACATACTCCAATATTTTAAGTTATGTTTTATTTTTATTTTATTTGTGTGTGTGTGTGTGTGTGTGTGTTTATATGGATAGATTATATGTATGTATATATAATACTTTTTACAATGAATTAAATGTCATTACTGTACAATATTGAAATTTGAATGTTAAATTAACAGAAATATTACATAATATTACAAATCAAAATACATATTTTTGATACACATTTCCTTTGATATGTATATAATACGTTTCACAATTTATTTAATGTTATTATTGTATAATGTTACAATTTTTATGTTAAATTAAAAAATATTACATAATATTAAAATCCAATCTTTTCTTCAAAGACTGGGTTTCAATTTTTGCCTTCAGCTGCTACTCTCAAAGCCCTTTATATAGGGAATTATGGCAAGCTACCTGTACTACCTGCTCCCAGCAGTAGGGGGCTACGCTCTCACTTCACTGTACTTTCTGAAGAACCCTCATATTCTACACAAGAAGAAGCAGACAGCCTTCTACTGCACCCACATCTCTCACAGGGGAGGTACAGTACCTTATCTGATCTGAGTCAATAACCAGCTCATGTCTTGGGCTTGGGATTCTTGCCTTTACATTTTTTTTTTAAATAGTCACATTAAACCTAATCAGTTGTAATGATGCTGTAGAAGAATATTAAATCATCACAGCAAAAGTCTTTTTTAAGTTATAGAGGACCTATCATACTACACTGAAATGTATATAAACCTTCTGATTTACAATAGATTATTTTATTAAATTAAATGCATATTCCTGTAATCTGTTGATAAATATTGGGAAATCTTGGGAATATTCCATAAAATTGTCAATGAACAGCATTAGATAATTGAGTGTTTATGACAGCATGTATGAATGTTTTCGTCATGGGGTTTGTATATAAAGCTAGTTAATATGTGACTTAGTGAATGATTAACTGTTTGAGGAATTTTTATGTTTGGGTGTCTATGAGAGTCGGTCCACATT